CTGTTCAATTGTATCCATTTCTCAGAGACTGACTGAACAAGTCCTGGAAGTTTCTTTTGGCAAGTTTTTTTCAGAAGTGCTTTATCATTGCCTCCTTCCTGAGGTAACGTACGTAGCCCAAGATATCCAGCTGGCTTTTTGCCTAAGAAGGGAACTAGAACTTTCAGATTCCCAGTTTCTAGTCTGATGCCTTACCATTACACTAAACTGGCACTAAAAGACTATATGAGTAATGTTTTCTCCTGTTAATTGAACTTGTCTTTGTGCTTTTAATATTAGCAGCTTTCTTATATCAAACATGAGTACATGTTGCTCAGGTCTATCTATGCTAGTTGAAAAAGTTCTTCATATTGCAGAAAAACTATCCCTAATTATGCCTGCATTTTTTATTTATGTAAGAAGTATAACACTGAACCAAGGTAAATATCAAAGTGCAAAAATTATGCAAATAAAAAGTTCCTATGTAAATTATGGGAAATTGTTAGGAAAAGTATTACCTGTGACAGGCACTATATACTCATTCACTGTTGTTTAAAGCTAGATGCCACTGAATCTTAACTTGTATCCTTGCACTACAATCCACAATCTGTGACGTTCTTCCATCCCCTACACTGCTATAGAGCATGTGTAGCTTTTTACAAACAAGTCTGTTAATTATCTCAGATGCTGCTCCAGAAAAGAAGAAAATAATATTTTCAGTATTTCTTCTGGAGCTACAGTGTACATAATTTCACATTGGCAAGAATGCTAGGAACATCTTCTTTTCCAGGCTCCTCTAACAAGATTTATTCCTGATATGAAGTGTCTTTCCACCTTGCCATTGTAGCTCATTGATTCGTTTTATCTTAGGGGCTACTCAAACTACTGAATTTGCTAAGTGCATAATAGAAAAAGTTTGCCTTTGACTGCCAAGGTATAAATTGAGCAAGAGCTTTGTATTTAAATGAATCTCAGTTTCACTTGATCTTGTCCTTCAGAGTCCAATATTTTTAGTGGTGGTTAACGTTGCTTCATTGCCACCTAGCGAGAGATTTAGTATGTGCAGTCAGCATTATTCTTTTTATTACAATATTAAAGCAAAGGTGTGTCTACCACAAAAATGTTGTAACACGAATTGCTGTTCAAATAGGAGAAACATTCTACGGATCATTCTATTGGTTATGTACCATCAAGTCATTTCTAACTCCTACCAACCACATAAGTAGACCATGATCTGTTCGGTCTCCCAACACTCTTAACCATGTTGCTGCTGGTCATCTTCTCTTTCCCTCCACCTTTCCTAGTATTAGAGCCTTTTCTAGAGAGTTGAGAGTTTACATAACCTGTCTGAAGCAGGACAATTTCAGCCTGGTTATTTGTATCTCAAGTGAGAACTCTTGGTTTATTTGTTTAATGATCCATCCATTCATTCATCCAATTTGGCTGTCCACTGTATTCTCAGGTGTCTTCCTCCAATGCCAAAGTTCAAAAGTGTAAATATGCCTGATATACTGCTTCTTTAAAGTCCAACTTTCACTTCCAAGGAGTGTCACAGGAAATACTGTGGCTTTGTTCTTTTTATAAACAGACATATCACAGGATGTGACCATTCTATTAAAGGTCATAGTTTTATTTTTATGCCATTCCACCATTCCATATTGACTGGATTTATCCATTTTTACTGACCTGTTTTGGGCTCTTCGCTCTAAAAAAAAGATGATCCCCAAATTATTTTATACCTGATTTTGAAATTTCCATGATTCCAGTGATATATATCTCTCGTGCATAGATATTATTCATTCACTCAATCAGTTTCTTGTTGAGATTACTGGGACAACAACAATATTACATAGGGGGGAAAGAAAAATTAGTATTGATAAGAATTTTTTTTTAAAAAAAAACCTACAAAATGCATGCTAGGGAGTTGAGGTTATATGGAATCAATATTAAAATCAGGCGCTTAAGTGTTTATTATTTTTATGCAAAAATCCCTCAGCTCCCCTTCAACTTTTGGCTGCTCTCCTCTCTTCGCCTTGCCTTGTTACACCCCAGTTGCTCAGCCCATTCGGTTGCTCTGTTCCAGCTCCCAGATTCACTCTGGCCAGACTCACCTGGCACACAAGGGAGCAAGTCCCCCAATCCTCCATCCTCAACAATCCATCAGTGAGGCCTAGAGAAGAATTCTTTAGTGAAACACACTGAAGAACGCCAGAAAGAACTGGCTCTTATTATCCAAGTGGCTTTCCTCAAACATAGGAAGGCCACCTTAGAACCTTTGACAAAAGCCCAAGAAGAGGTCAGGAAACTTCTCAAGAATGTAAGAACCATCTGTACAGTCTACAGCATGAACTGGCTAAAATAAATCAAAGTTCCTATGTTTAGAAAAGCCTCTGCAGCCAACTGAAGGAGAAAATTACCCTTATTCAGAATGTAAAGTAAAACAAGAAGAACCACATCAACTATCTGCAGCAGAAGGACCAGACTTGTGTTTACAATGGAAAACATGCCAAAAACTGTGAAGGACAACAGAGGATTCCACATTGTCAGAACGGCGATCCAACACTTAGAACTGCACAACAGATGTTTGGAGAAAGAGACTGAAGATCTGAACAGAGAGGTCACTAGCCAGGTATTCTTTCTCAGAAATGATAATGGCACATGGGACATTATAGCTGGATCGGAGGAATGGCGGCCTTTTGCTGTTTTGGAAAAGATAAGTAATTCTTTCCCTCCCTTCCCTTGACTTGCCACCTAGTGTGCCAGGGGAGTCAGGTGAAACCCCTCCTGACCCCCAGCCTTTCAGCTGAGCTGAGAAACCTCCTAGCCACAGTGCATCAGGTCCTCAGAGCGCTGAGGAATCCCAGAGATCGGAGTCAAGAACAAGAGTGGAGGTGATAGCCATGGGAGTGGTGAGATTGGGAGAAATGTATCCACAGCTCCAAGGCTTAGAGTGCCACCTGAGGACTTTAGCAACAATGCTTATGGCTTACCTGCTTCTAATGTACCACTTCACAGGTGGTTCTAACAAGCCATCTTTGAGATGCCACCTCTTGACTGTGACATACCTTGTCACGAAAGCAGTAGATATATCACTCCTGATTTGATTTCATATAAAACAAGAATTCTAAACTCAAACACCTTTGAGTAATAAAAAAATGGCCAACAACTGAGAAACAAACGATTCATGATAATCTATTTGAAATAGAATAGAATGAAAGAGCTGGAAAGGACCTTAGAGCTCTTGTAGTCCAGCCCCTTGATCAAGCAGGAGAACCTACACTATTTCAGATAAGCGACTAGATTCTTTGTGAAAATATCAGTGATGGAGCACCCATGATTTCTGAAGGCAAGCTATTCCACTACTTAATTATCCTAATTGTTAGGAAGTTTCTTCTGAACTCCGGGTTTCTTCTTCTTTGTTTGATTAGTTTCCACCCATTGTTTCTTGTCCTGCCCTCTGGTGTTTTGAAGAATAATTTTACCCCCTCTTCTTTGTGGCAGCCCCTCAAATACTGAAATACTGCTATCATGCCACCCCTAATTCTCTTCTTTAGACTAGCCAGGCCCAAAATCTGCAGCCGTTCTTCATATAGCTTAGTCTCCAGGCCTTTCATCATCTTATCTGCTCTTCTCTGAACTTTTTCCAAAGTCTCAAAATCTTTTTTGTAGTATGGTGACCAAACTTGTTTGCAGTATTCCAGGTGTGGTCTTCTGGAGTTTATTATAACATTATATAAAATAATACATACATACATACATACATACATACATACATACATACATACATACATATATAAAAATAATAATATACAATAACTTTATATAATAACTTTATTATAGCCCAGAGGGATTTACAGTTTTGTCATTTCTGTGAAAATGTTATTATTACATTAGCAGAAGCTGATAAATGGCAGAGGAATAAAAAGAGCTGCAAAAATCATAGTAATATGTGTTAAAAAACTTTCTAGCTATTATAGCTATCCATTAGATCGTGGGTGGACGGATACTGAAGAGTGGAGTCTCAAGGGAACTGCAACCATGGGTGGCATTCTACCAGTTTGCACTGGTTTGGTTGAACCGGTTGTTACGATTCCCAGTAGTTCAGAGAACGGGTAAAATGGGCCCCTGTCCTGTCTCTTCTTAAAAACAGATGCATGTTTCTTCTGCCCAAATTTGGTACACTTCTACAAAATGTCTCCACAGATTTGAAAATCATGATACAAAACTGTGAAGTATGTTGACATGTTTTATTAGAGGCTAAGAATAAAAAATGCAATAATTAGTTCCTCATAATTATATCTGTTATTATTTCTCAGTTCTGCAACTATGATTCTTTGGGGCTTATCCCTTTGATTGCTTATGAATTTTAAGAACAATTCCTTCTGATTCAAGACTAAATACAGGTAATCCTCAACTTACGACCTCAATTGAGCTCCAAATTTCTGTTGTTAAACAAAACATTTTTAGGCAAGTTTGCCCCATTTTACAACTGCTTGGAGGGTGTTCTGGGTTAATGGTATAATTTTCAGACAAATGGGGCAGTATATGATTTTATTCCAGTGGAGAATCACTTGCAAAACCCCTCAGTACATCCAGTTCCTTAGCTTGCAAAATAGGTGTTTGGCATTTAACATTTAATATTTATTAATATTGTTTAAAAGGTCTTTGATTTGAGGGATATCCCTATTACATTTAATGTAAACAGGGAAGAAAAAAGCCATGCCATAATCCTTGGTGGATGAGCTGAATTGTTAAAGCATATAGTGCCAAAATTCATCTATGCTAATCAGCATTACGTTTGAACATAAATGAGATCTATCCACAGTGAAAAGTTACGCTTTCTGATATTAGTGCTCAATGTTAACAGCATCATTATATAAGGAAAATAAATATCAATTAAATGATTTAAATAATTTTAAAAGACCATCAATGATAAATGTGATATTTAAAGATTTTTCCATGTTAACATATGGAAGTACGATTAATATAATGAAAAACTTCCCAATGTAACACGAGTGTGAAACAACTTAAAGACGTTAATTCCTTTCCCCAATCCCTTGGGTATTTCTCACCCAAATAAATCGCATTTACAACTGTTTTACATCAATTTTAATCTCCAAAGCATTATTTATATGGCTTCAAATCATGTAATTTTTATATACCAATTCAATGGTCTCCATCTGTTCTGCTGATCTTAAAATGTGTTAGATTATCTAGCACTAAAATATTCAAGACATTTGCTAGTCAAAATTCAAAATCTTATTTATTTGAATAACTTTTTATCAAAATATATTTTACTTTATCACACACAATGAAAGCTGAAATATATTGCTGCTCTTATCACAGATAAATATTAAAATAGATCTGCATGTATTTAATGTATGTTAAAAACAATATATATGTGTGTATGTGTAAAAATATGTGTGCACACTTTACTAATGGCATATACATATTTTCCTTAGGCACAATATGCAAGCCCCAGCTAAAATATTTCCAACAAAGTATAAAATATGAGCCTGTTCATTGAGCCTGTTCTTTAAAATTATATGCCATTTAACCTGATGTCAGCAAAGTTTGTTACAAAAATGGACTGTGGGTAAATTAATGTTGCCACATATTGAGTTATTTGTAATATACATATCAATGGCACACACATATATAAAATATATATTTTTAAAAAGGAACAGTTTAAATAATTTCAATCCCAAACACAACAAAAAACGATCCAAAGAATTCTAAAAAAAATCATGGACACACATAATCAATTTCAGTTCTCAGGTTGAGTAGAATACTCTGAAGAGGTGTTACGTGAAATCTTCAACAATTCTGAAGTTTCCTCAACCCTTAAGACATAAAATACGTAAACAAAGTTAAATGACTCTTCCAAATAATAAAAATAGTAGCAATTTTTTATCTATATTAAACATTGGTAAATTTATAGATATGATTGAATAGACATATTCATTAGTTAAATGAGTTAATTTTCCAAATCATTAGCACTTTAAATTTTTATCTAAAATATAAATAAATAAATAATATAAATATAGCAGTGTTTTACTGAAAAAAGTAATCTTGGATTAAGTAGTAATCTGGTTTGAAAAAGCAGTGATGTTTTGTTGGAAGATAACTCATTTCCAGAAAAACAGTTTTGCAAATCAATACTTTAAACTTTATCATTAAAGCATCTCATATTGTCTTCCAAAAATAAAAATATGTCTCATTTTTGTTTTTAGAAAACAATATGTGATGCTTTAATAATAAAGAACTTTAGTTTGATTTATTGTCTAATACAATTTTAAGCAAATACTACCTCAAGGGAGTATGGCAAACGCATGTGCAGCTCATTCATAATTTGATGAGGAAAAGGAGTTTCAGTTAAAGTGGAATATCCACTAAATCTGAGTAGTGTGTACAAGTAAAACTGAAATGAGATTTTCTTTGAGCATTTGTATGCATTTATGCATATGTAAAATAGCAAATAGAAGTTTTTGCCTGCACATAATGAAAGATTCTGTTCACTTCATCTGATATTAAATCAGGGTCCATTAAATTGTTTTCCATATTCTGTATCTACATTTGAAATTTTATTTGCTAAAAAATAATACTGGATCTTCTTACTTACATTTTGCTTATTCTTTCCATTTTTTGAATTGTTGTTTCCTACAATTTAAAAGCAAGAATTTTAACTTCGTACACTTGCATTACCAAAGACAAATATAACCACAGATTTTCTATAGCTCTGCCAAAATATATATGTGCCAGTTTTAATTTACCTTTGAAATCTCTGACACATCATCATCAACAGCCAGGACTTCGGGAGATGGATCTGCAGATAACAACGAACTATATCCAGATGACTGATGAGGATTGTCTGGCAATTCTACTTTCTCTTTATCTGTGAATAAACTCACTTTTTAAAGATCAGCTTTGCCTTTACACATTTTAATCATATAGTCTGATTTACAGAATATATTCATAAAAGAAGCTGATACAAACTTGTAAAGCAATATTCTCAGGTACATTCAGAAGTGAATAGTAAAATATTACAGTACTTATAATAAATGCAACCTGATAAATTACTTTACTACCAACATAAACTTTTTCTACAGAGTTCAAAGAAATACAATTTATAAGATGTAAATTTTTCTGCTTATGTTAAGAAAGTTTTTGAGGTAGCTACAAGTTGTTGTTTTTTTAAAAAAGCTCTATATGGGAATGCCAATCTTTTTATATTGAGAAAATAATAGTTAATTCTGTTTAAAGGGAGAAAGTGAATTTTATTATACTTCAAAAAAATTTCAACTGCCACATACTAAAATTAATTTATAAGTTGATACTTCTACAGAAGTACTGTAACTTACTATCAAAATATAATGCTTTAGAGAATAGGAAAATTCTATTTTTAGTAAAAAATATTAAACAATACAATTGAAACCACAGATTAAATTTGTTCCCGATTCAGACTCTTTATCTGAAAGAATGTAAGAGAACATATTTGCCAGCAATTTTTATTTTTATTTCTTAAAATCTTATTTAAAACATTGAAATAACTAAAATATAAATAGCAAGTTAACTTGCTAAATAGCAATAAGACTGTATTTAAAAATTTACTACACTATATGCTATAATAACTAAAATTCAGTTTGACTACATTTCCATGCAACATAACATATTTAAACAGATAGCATTTTAGAAAAATAAAAGAGACTGAGAAAAATTGCAACAAGTACTTACCAGAAGATAGAGTTGTGTTTCTGGTAGAAGAATCTTCTTCACATACATTATTTAATTTTGTAGACAAATCAGCCTGAAATTGAAAAATATTTTACCATTAATAACTCATGAATTATTCTGTAAAACTAGTTATTTTGAAGTTTTCAGACTTACGTCTGCAATAATGTTATATTATAATCATTTTATAACATATTAGTAGCATACTTAATAGTCTTCACTTCCAAAAATTATTATTCAAGAATCAAAATCTTAGGAATAAAAATCCAATCTTCCTGTTTTACTGCAGTTACAGTATCACAATTCATGAATTGGCATTATGCGATTAACATAATTTTGAAACCCTGAATTCAAACACTATCTAACCTGAGATAAAGTGATATTTATGTAGATCATGTTTCAAATTGGAATACATCAAATATAGTAACAACTGCATAGCTTACTGCTTATGTCTCATTATCAAAAATTAAGTACTATGCTATTGACATTTGATAGTATAACATTTATGGATTAGATCTACTTTTTCTATGGTACAAAAGAGTTATTGGAATATTTTGGGTATAAACTCAAAATCCTTGCATTAAAAAAAAAACTAATTAAATCCCCAATGTACTTTCAAACACTAAGAGAGCCAGAAGGGTAAAAATGGCTAAGATGGTAGACTATGAGCAGGAAGACAGCTTCTAATTCTCTGTCAGGCACAGCTGAGAGTCATTTTCTTTTAGTAGTATCAGACTCTGACCAGCCGACTGATAAACTATCTCTTGCAAAACCAATCACACCCTGAAACCATGCAGGCCAAACACTAAGAAAAGCAAAAATGATCCTATCATAAACATGAAAATAATGCCTCGTTATACATTCTCTAGTTCAAATCTACAATTTTAACATAATGCTTTGAGAAGCAGAAGCCTGAATGTCATTTTAGCACAGCATTAGAAATGTGAACAAATTACTTAAAATAGAAAAATTTCAAATAATACAGAAAACTGATAGCTAACACAGTAGTATTCCACACATTAACAATTAGGTTCATTAATATGAAGTAATAGTAAATGTATAAATAAAATTTGGAATGGATAACCCTTAAAAATAAAAATGTAATATAAAATATTAGATTACTATATTTCTAATACAGGAAAGTTCATAATAAAACATACTGTTTTGGAATGAAGTAACAGTTGTGTTTCAAGGAGGAGGACACGGCTCAAAAGATTATTCCACTCATTCTCTTCTATAACAATTTTCCCTTGCAGTTTTTTTTCTAAAGTCTGTAACTTTTCGTCCACATTGCTCAATGAATGAAACTTTTGCTGCAGTTCAACAAGTTGACTTTTCAAGTCTTCTAATTCATTGTCCTTCTTTAAAACCTGAAAATAACATTTTTTTCATTCACTATAGTCAAAGCACAAATTTAGATTTTTACTAATTATATGAAACATGTAAATCCCCTCACATGAAATCAGAAAGCATATCCACAGTGCTGGTTCATTCACTAGAACCTGTGCACTAGCACTCACACCACAAAACAAGTATAAATAACAACCGGTGAAAGTTCTAATAATTCACATAGAACCTGTTGCCAGTTCACATTTTATTTTAGATCTCCTCTATAGAAGCAAGCAGGATAGTTGGCAAAACATTCATTACCTGACATATTTGAAAGATATAAGACAAACATTCATTACCTGACATAGTTTGAAAGACATAAATGATAGAAAATATTATCTTTTCACTGATCCTATGGCTGAGTTACATTTGAGTGCAACTGGATTTCCACAGGACAAAAGTGGAGCGAGGCGGGAGGGGAAGGTGATTAATTTTGTCATCTTTCATTTTTTCCTACACCATAAGATTACCTTGTCAAAGCAGCAATATTTATAGAACTCTAGAAGCAATTTTTTTTATATTTATTTATTAGACATAATCAATTTGTTCAGTTCAATATAGTAATGTAAAAGCTTTTTATCTAAATAGCTTCATATTAATGTTTATTCAATTATGATTTGTCTCCTATTACTACTACAAATATTGGTTTTCAAACATCATTTTAACAAGCAGGAATTGCCTAAGAAAATAAGAATGGTCTTACCTCTACATCTATATTATCCGAAACATCAGTGTCATAGTCCAAAACTTCAACTTTATTTACAACGTAATCTTTCACTTCCTGCAATGTTTCACTGATGAAATCTTCAGGGATATGCACGCTAGTCACACCTTCATGACGTTCTATTTGAGGTTTCTTTGCATGTAAAAGACCCCACCCAAAGTAACAGTAAAGAATATATTGAACAAAATTACTGATTCAATTAAAAAGCACTTTGATTTAATGTATCTATGGAATATATTTGCACTGATATTCACAACAAATGCTTTCTTTAATATTACACAGACAGGTAATCTCAAGCCTGAAGGACAAGATGGGGCCAGGTCACTTCCTCTGTTTGATTTAACATCAATCCCATTTGTATAGTTGTGAGAATCATTTTAAATTCAGGTTCATACATCCATAAATTTCAGAGTATGTGGTTAGTGATGTTAATATTATTTGTTAATATGCTTTCTTAAGAAAATTTATTTTTATTTTTAAAAACTCATTCATAATTGAGAAATCCACTACAACCAAATATCTTATCCTGTTCATATTAGGGTTTGAAAAACAGTCAACAAACGGTGCGCTAATAAAAGAGTATATTTTTAAAAAATATCAATTGTAATTGTTTTTTTTAATCTCTATCTCTGCTGTATATTAATCAGAGTAGAGTGGAATAGAAATGTTAATTCTCCTAGGCAGCAATCTTTGTATGACTGTCTAATTCAATGAGAAATAATCCATTAGCAGGCTGTTAATATAAGAGATGAGATGACAGAATTGTCTGATTCAGTGGTTTGGGGGAAAAATAAATAGATCTTCATTCTATGACCTCAATCATTGATTGATATACTGAAGGATTCTTTACACAGACTTCTTAAACAGATTAAGATGCAACATAGAACAGATCTATATTATGAACAGCCACTGATAATCCACCACTAATCATCATATATTGTCTGGGTTTTTTTAAATTTTTATCATTATTGTTTTTAATGTTTTTGTTTGTAATTCTGCTCTGTGACTGTAATAAAAATTAATGATTATATTATGAATAATTGAAAGTCATCTTACAGTACGAGGATGGAAAGTTAAAAAGAAATTATATAATCAGTTTAGTAAGATGTCATAAACCAGTTCACATCCTCCCTGAACATTATTAATAACAAAGCTACTTATGCTGAAAACAAATAAAACATATAAAAATAGTATCTGGGAACACCAAAATATCCATAAGGATAAATATTTTAAAATGTCATGAAAAATAATTAATACTTATAGTAAAAATATTGAATATTCCTACCTGCTGCAAATCCATAGTACTGATAGCTACAGTAACAGACGGATTGGAAAAACCTGTGTGGGATAGAGATTTAACCACATGGGCTTTCTTTTCTGATTGGGATTTTATCTATAAAATATAGAAAGTCAATATCCAGAGTTATGCTAAGAACTGCATTATATGCAAAACAGAGTATGTTTATTACATCAGTCTACTAAAATTCAGGATCTTAAAAGTACATGATGGATGGTACATAATTCATACCAATCATATCAATACACTAGTGGAATGCCACAGGTCAGCAGATAGTATGGGAGGAAGGACAACGCTCTCCAAAAACTGTTCTGAGAAAATGACATATTCTGACAATTTTGGGGGAACCTATATGTATACATGGAAACTTTGACATACAGAGCTATTAATGCAATTAATTTAGTAATTATTAAAACTATTGCAATTTTAACTGCAAGACACATGTAGGAAAAGAAATGAAAGAGTGAAATAAATAAAATTGTAATTTTCCAAACATCAGAAAGAAAAAACCCTCTAAATTATAGTGTGTTTAGTAAGTGGCATATAAATTAAAAGATAGGCAATGATTTAATTATTATAAACATTAATAAAAATGTGAATTATTAAACAGTTCAATATTAACTAGCTTTTTCTTAAAAATGCTAACATTTTTTTATATTAACTAGTTTTTTCCTTTAAATTGCTAACAAAATTAATTTTCAATACCTTATTCATGTTACTGAATTCTTTGTGCCTTTTATAAATGTAACTAATAATATCACAAACAATCTGTATTTTTCTTTCTGCAAAGCCATATTGAAGGAACTGCTGTTTTGACAGGACTGGTTTGTACTGAAATTGATCACGAAGAAGCTGCAGAGAATAGATTTTTAAAATAGATTTTTAAAAAAAGGAATTTATTTTCATAATAACAGTACTTATATGTCTGCTCAGCTACAGTGGCCTACTTCTTTCCCTGACCCTTTCTCTGGATGCAGAGGAATTGCTCTAACCCTCACTTTCTCTGAACAAAAAAATGACCACTTTTCTTTGAGCATAAAGAATAAATAACCCAATATTTTAGGTCACACTTTGCGGAAGAAGGCATCGTCTTTGTAGAAATGTTAGCTAGAGGACAGCATATAGAAATTCAAAGTTAATGGTCTTATAACACTATGCCATAATGCAGTAAAATTTAAACCAATGTTTAAATTGCAAGGTATAATGACGCTTTTACTTCTTCATTACTATTAATGGTAACATTATCAGATTAGCATATTTAAGATATATACCTTATACATAGCATCAACAAAACGTGAATCATTCTTTGCTGTAAGTTCCATCCCTGAATCCATTACAAGTTCTGCAATATATGTTGAGAATGATGTGAAACAGTAGCTAATGATTGGTAAATATACAGATGGATCACCCTTTGCCAACCTGTAACATGGAAAAAACTAGATATTACTGATAATTCGAAACCTTTACATCCCCCTTTATCACAGTAGTTTTATTTCTATATTTCTGAAACACTATCAGGAGACCATGGCTACATTTAATTAAGACTATTATATAAATAGTTTTCTGAATCATTAATCTACATTTTTGGGAATGAGTGCATTATTACTGTTTAACATGTAAAAACAACAAAAATTGAAACAGGGTTGTTTCTTAAGTCTTTCCCAAAAGAAGACTGGATTTACTTTTTAACTTTAGACAAATCATTTACTGCCTAGGTAAGATATACTAAGTTTTATTAAAAGGTTGCAAAAAGTGATTTTTATATGGAGAGATATGTTGCAACAATAAATCACTGTGCACTTGATATGGGCTGTCACCTGTTTTAAATATTGTATTCTGAATTTCACTGAAGTTTAGGATCTTAAACAAAATGTAGGAATCTGTTTAAACAACAATAATCACCAGTTTCAAATAATCTAGCAGTTAATGTAATCTTAGCTAAATACTTATTGAAAAATAAATGTTACGGCATGGAAACAAATTATCTATTTTATTATGATTCATTTATAAGTGAATGGGATGACAAATCTGCTAGAACAATTTTTTTCACTTTACAAAACACAGAATTCCTTAGACTCTATCAAATAACATTTTATTTCTAAATTATTTATTTTTTAAATTATAATTAAAATTATATTTTAATTATTATTTTAATTAATTATTTTTCTAATTATAAGCCACTAGAGCAGACAAATTGCCTAATAATTGTAACATTATTTTTGTTAAAAGAATACAGACATTCTCCTGTACCAGAATGGGACAACTTGGCGCAGCCAACTTGGTATGGGCAGTGCGCCACCAAGTCTCTTCTCCCAACTCATTGCTTCTTAAGTCATTGCAGGATAACTCAACACGGCCAATTCACTGCAGAGACAACTCACCAGGGAGAGCCAGGTGAGTGAACAAGCAGCCAATCAGAGTGCAGAGCAGCAACGGCTGGGGGCTTCCATTTTTCATACACCACTACCATTGCTGCACCAAGCTCCAAGCTGTTTTGAGTTTGGCCTATTCAAGGATAGCAGGCAAGCGGCAGAGACTGGATGTATCCCAATTTCATATCCCTGCCACCACTGAGGGCCATTTGGCAGCAATGGTGGTGTTTTGGCTATTTGGGGGAGTGGGCAGGGCAGGTAATTTTTTTTTGCACAAGGTTTCCATTAAATCAGATTCTCTGGAAACCTAAAACAAAGAGTAATACAGATGATATAATTTTTTCATTAAACAATGAATGTATCCAAAAGCTCATTTTCATGTCCATAGAATGATGCAGCAAAACATCTTCCCATCATTTAATTTTAGATCAATATCACATAAATAATATTACTTCTTACATCCAGAAAATTCAAGAAAGGAAAATCTTAAACAAATCACATGCTCCCATTTTAGTTTGTTTTGATCAGAACAGACTGCTTTGCAACATTCAGATAATACTGTACATTTATTTAAAAACAAAGAATAGAATGGTTGTTTGCTGACCAGAAAAATTCAATAGGCGATTCACCAACAAGCCATGTTTATACTACAAATTGGCTACTAATATGCTTCCACTTACCCCATATAATCCACATCACTAGGATAATTTATAACCCGGAGTTTTTGTTCTATCTTATGCAAGTTTCCTTTTAGGTCTCCTGTAGCCATGGTATAATTATTCTTTTAATTATAATACATGCTCACTGTGGCCTAGAAAGCAGAATAATTTTATATTACAAACTTTATGTATTTACTCATTCATTCATCTATCAGGTTCAATTAACATTAAATACAACACATTCTTAAAAACAATATAAGTAAAATAACAATAGAATGTATAATTCTGGAAAACACTGTTCCATGACATGTGGGACATTACAGAAAATAGTTCTTTCTGTTCCCATTTTTTTCATTTCAGAACTTTACTTCACAAAGTTTTGCATAAGGGACAATAAAATCAGACAGGATAGTTCTATTTACAGAAGGTAGTTCTGAAGTCAAGCCATGTAAAAATTAAAAGCATCACTTTTAATTGCACCCTTAAGAATACTGAGAATTACTTCAGTGTCTCTAACATTGGAATCGTACAATTTTAGCTGTTCTCACTTTCATTATGTTGGCTATTTAATATGGCACTTAATAGGCTTTGAGTCGTCTTCAAAGACAGCCCCTTGTAAAGTGAATACTCCCAGTGACCGACAAGGCAAGCCACTAATAAACAAACAAACCCCACTCCTTTTTGACACTGATGATGTTACCTAGTTTGGTAATGAAATGTCTGCAAGAAAGCATCAAAGTTCAGAGAGCACTAAGGACCCCAAAGAATGAAAGTGCTCTAACTAGGGCTTCCACTTGTTCGTCTTTCACAATCATGACTCCAAGAGTATCCCAAATCACAGATCTGCTTCTCCAGGGGAAATGCCATCCTATCCAAAGTTAACAGAGAGATAGATATCCAACTGTATCCTCCAGCCTGGCCAAGGATGGAGATGTAAAATAAAGAAATCAGAAAACCAACCCAAAACCAAAGGTGCTTTTTCAGGAGGCAACTGGACTTTTCTGTTTTTTCTTTGAAGACGTTTCTCTTCTCACCCAAGAAGCTTCTTCCAGCTGAAGAAACTTCTTGGATGAGAAGAGAAACATCTTCAAAGAAAAAAACAAGAAAGTCCAGTTGCCTCCTGAAAAAGCACCTTTGGGACAACCATGACCTCGGTGACTAAGAATCTCTACAGACTTTCAACCCAAAACCAGCATGCAAGTTCTCCCAACAAGCTTATGTAAACAGAGGAGAGTAGACTGAATCCTAGGGCATCCCACAAGACACAGCCAACCAGTCTGACCGCCTATTCCCCACCTCTACCAGAACCACCCACTTAGGAAAGAGCGGAAACAATGCCACAGTGTAGTTGATGCCAGTTCTTACGGTATGGCCTCACTGTCTAAGAGTGCTACTGCTGCAAAGACCAAATGGATAAGAGAAGCACTCCTTTCCCACTCTCCAAGTTCTGACAGTTATCCCCAAGGAAAACCCTCCAACTACAGCAATGCTGTTAATTTTAAACCCATGCTGGGTTGACTGTTTTCACTGCTTATTTTAAAAGTGGGGAAGCTTTGGATTCAGTTGCCAGTAGGAAAAAAAGACCAAAGTTGGATAACGAAATTCCAAATAGTTTGGTTCCCACAAAATTTCATGGAAGAGATCCCACACTTGGCGGGAAGATGAAAGAAAGAGCGGGATAAGTTAAGACTCTATTCGCTTCTTTCCATTTACTTGCCCGGGGGAAGCAACAACCTACAGTCAACCACTTTTCATTCTCCCAACGCTTTAATTTGCGGAGTCCTTGGTCCTCCCTAAGCTTGACTGTTTTCTTGCAGACGTTTCATTACCCAAACTAGGTATCATCGTCAGTGCTAGCAGGGAAAAACCCCACGATCCTTACTACCACGATGTAACCTAGTTTGGATAATAAAACATCTGCAAGAAAACAGTCAAGCTTAGGGAGCACCAAGGAGCCCTAATTTCAACTCTTGATCGGTACTTACATTTGCACTGGCGACCTTCTGGAGGACTGGCCAAGGAGGACGTTGGAAAGCGCCCGGGGATACCTTCAGTCCGGCCGCTTCGATCGAAAGAAGGCTTTAACCCGCCTTGCCCTGGCGCGCCGGGTTGCGCCTTCACCTCCAAGCCGAGCGGCAGTTTAAGCACTCCCGCGGGCAGCCAAAACTAGTTTTAGTTTCGGGTCCACAGACTCCTGACCCCTTTATTCCAGCGCCTGTTTAAAAATGCTCTCCCCAGCAGAGGCTCCTCCAGGGGCGTCTCAAAAGGGTAAAACAACGTCGCTCTTCGCGATCGCTTCAGTTGCGCCGATCGAAAGTACCGATGCGGATCTACAGAGAACTTTCCCCGCCCCGCAAGATCCGATGCGTCACTTCCGGTAAAAACAGATGCGGCGGCCGTTGCTCTAGTAGCCGCCAGGAGATCGAAAGTGAGTCTGCGGGTGCGGGCGGGCGTGGAAGAGGTGACGGCTCCTGTTTGTGCGCATGGAACCGGAAGCCCGCTGGGAAGCTGGTTTGCTCCAAAGGCTGGCAGAAGCTGCGTGACGCCGCGCTCCCTCGCTTCGAAGGCTCGTACCCGACTGGAAGCCGAGTCGTCGCGGCGGCGGTTGGGACCTCAGCTCGTACAGGTAATGTGGGTCAATATCCAGCCCCCTGGGGGCTTTTTGTTACTGCCGACCTCGGCTAGATCATATTCCTCAACTAAAGGTGGCACTGTCTGTTGCTTTTGCTTCCACTCCTGTAGGAAATTAAAGAGCTTTTGTAAACAGGTGCAAGATGCTGTTCGTTTCTCAGCGCTAGTGTGAGTGTGACAGGCTACATTTCCTAATTGTGAGATGTTGGCTTTTAAAGTAGTTTCTACATTACAGTTTCCACTGATATATGTCCTTCATCTATTCCGTGTGGACCATGGCAATTGCAACTTGGAACGTAAGAGGCATAAAAGATGGGAAGTAAAATGGGTGAAGTGAAAGAAAAACAGATGCATGTTTGGAAACGGTGATTTAAAACAAAAAATAAATAAATCAGTGTACGAATATGTTCAAAGCAAGACTGGCTCGCAAGGATAGAAAGAAATTGCAAAAGAGACAATGAAGTTGGAATAAGCAACATTTAGTTAAGTTTGCTTTTATTTCATGCTGCTAATTTGCTTTGCTTTTTATTTTAGTTATATGCCATTTAATAATTACTTCCAGACATTTTATTTTAAAATTTTCTTTTGAAAGCCATTTTTTAAAGCAAAATGCTTCAAAAGTATTTGAAGGGGCACTCTAGCAAAAGTTTTTGAAAGAATTCTAAGAGTGTAGGCAAAAGACAATATCCTTTTATTACAAATGGGATTTCTAGCTTTTTAATACTGTATATCAAGATTACTTTGAGATTCATACACTTCTGTAATGGTGTATTTTTGTAAATCCCATAAATAATTTCATCATCACAAATTTAAGACCATATAAGTGATCTTTTTCTGGTATTACTGATCATTCATAAAATCTGAATAGTTCTTCAGTCTTGGAAAATTAAATATTGCAGTATAAAATATACACAACATAGATTTTTAAAATAACCATTCTGAATGAAAAATATATGAGAAAACTGATGAAAAATTTCTACCAATATTGTTTTCCTATTATGGTATGTAGCTGGTATAGTATAAATACAAAATATTTCTCTTACCTTTTGTGTACTGCCTTTGTTCTCTGAAATTGTGCATTTAGGAATAAGAGATATATGAACTTAAATAGTTAGAAAAATGTTTGGTTAAGATGTTGGACTGAGTTTGTGAATATTACTTGATGACTTTAGACCAGCTGTTCTGTCTCCAAAGTCTACAGGACAGGGTTGTTTTAAAAACAAGAAAGTAGTATTCCTGAATAACAGGCAGGATATACATTTAATTATTTTTATTAAATGAAATATAGTTCCCTTCTTCCAATAGGAAGAACTTGCATGTTCTTTAATCAAATTTATAGCTTGATTTTAAAATTGTTTATATACTCATATCTGTAGCTGCTTAGCTTATTATTTCTGCCAATTATCTGACTTCACTACCCATTAGTATGGGTGTTCAGAGAAAGTTCCTCTTACTATTAGAACCTATATCATTGGGGCTTCATCTGAAATATAACCGTTAGCGATATTCTCCCAAACCATTATATTTTGCATATAATGATATTGCAGATAGAATAAAAAAGACAAGGATTTTTTATGTTGTTCTTTCACACCTGGATAATCTTATATGTACTTTTGGCATCTTCAACTGAAGAAAGATAAACTATGTTCATTTCAATGTTGCTTCCCTTTCAATCATAGTAAGCTAATGTTCTGATGACTATTTAATTTCAATAGTATAGTTCAGCACCAATTTTGCAAAGTGTGGCTACCACTAGTACTCATGAATGTGTTTATTCAAAATAAAGCTGCATAGTAACTGAGTATTAAATTAATACAAATTAATTTATTAAATTAAAATTAAAATGCTGTTGATGCTACTGTGGAATCTTTTTAGTTTCTTTTTAGATATGTAATATAACCCAGCTACACTTTGCTTGTTAGTTGTCTAAAATATAGAATCCCCATATTTATAATGTTTTTGGCTATTTGATAAGGAATGGTTTTTCGAAATAAGGATGCCAACTTTATTGCAAAGTCTCAACTATCCACTTCTACCTAACTTATAAATGTTTCTCAGATAACTTGTAAGCTAAGTTGTGTAGTTTTTTATTTTTTCCTGAAATAATTTTTCTCTGAAATAATGATGCTTTTACAATAATGAAATAATATATTTACCATAATAGATTTTTCCAACTGTTACCATAACAATTCTCTAAATGTGTATATGTTGCACATTGGAGTGGATCAGTGGTTTGAAATTAGGAACTGTACAAGCTTTTCTATCTATACAAGATTCAGTAAAATAAAGAGGTTTCGTCATCACTTTTATAAATACATATTGTTGTTAAAATGTGATGCCTAACTGCCTAATATACAAGGTGACTGATTTAGATTTCAAGGAGGACAGTTTTTAATTGCACTCTTATGCCCTAGCAGAATTTTTTTAAAGGCAGTTGGGTATCTCAGTTCTTGGTTTTAAAGCAAACAAAAGGGTTTTTTTAGGTTTTAGTAAATATTTAACTGGAAATGGTTCTAATTTTCTTAGAATAGTTAAGTTGATTAATCAAAATTTATGGTATCTTTTCAATTAAGATATTTAAATTAAATTATTAAAGTAAGAACTTACAGCCTAATATACACTGCTTTAGTTTTGTCAATGCAATTTGATCATTCAGGCAATTCAGTATGAGTTTGCTAGGAAATCAGTCCTGTTTATAAGTAACTTTCAAAGCTTTGTATTTCATAATATGTACTGATTCACCCCTTCTTCTGGGCACAATTTTTTTTTTGCACATTGCCTTTCAGGGATCCACGCATGGACATACGAAACACATTTTTTTCTACTACCAGCTTCCTACATCTGTCCAAAAGTTGTGTATATGGAGAAAAAAATGGACTAATGGATAAATGTTCAGAGTAGCTTTTCTGGTACATACCATAGTTGTGCATATATGTTTCTTTTGCAGTAATAGGCAAAATAAAAAATATTAGGTCTACATATTACTATTTTAATCTAATATGAATGTGATGAAATTTTGAAATTGAGTTACGTCTCTGGGCTCACAGTAAAATATAACAATCTGCAAAAGAAAATCAGAATGAACTGAGAAGATATATTTTCTATTTGTTTCCTGAAACTGAAGAAATCAATTTATATTCACACTAAATATAGATGCAAAATGACATGATTTATAATAGATCTGTAAAGTACATTTCAAATTTTCCAACATCTTTTCTAATGCTTCAAAGTACTTGTAAATGTTACATCTATATTGTAGACCTATAGTTATTATAAGTAGAAATGTGTTGTTCTGCAGCAGTATTCTCTCTATTTTAATCTATGGATAAATAGTCATAGCTTTAATGTACACTGTTTCAAATATAAAACAAATGTTTCATGTTGAAAATTTCCTATTTGAACCATTTTGGAATGTTTCAAGCTTCAAAACATTTCCAAAATGATTAAAACAACATTTTAAATAAAACATAACATTTCATACTCTAAAAGGACCGTTTTCCATTCAAAATGTTTTCTGTGACAATAGTGAAAACCTACTTCTTAGTTCACTTAGCACCTGAGATACATGCAAAGTATATTAGCAATCAAGAAATCTGTCATAATTTCATTAACATATGGATCCACTCTTTCCTGAACAAAGATTATTCAGCACTATACACTCTGCACAAGAATAGAAGTTATAGAATTCACAAATTGTGAAACATGAAAAATATTGAAAGGTTGTGGAGAGTGACAAAGACTTATTTTCTGTCTCATGAATGCTATTTTTAACTGTTAAAGTCAGATTCCTCATGCTGTTTCTCAATAATTTTGGTAATGACTGGACTGTTGATCTAACTTCATCTTCTGGTACTAAAAGTGCTTGTAAGTAAAGAATATATTATAAATTATCCTGAATGCTGACATCTCTATTCATAGCGTTTCAGTTTATTTCTTTGATTTTCCTTTTATCTCCCTTGAGTTGATTACTAACTGTGCTTACTTTAGCACAGGGGTCACCAACCTTTTGGACCTCAGGAACCACCAAACTCATACTTTTAAATCTGGAGGACAACTAATATGAATTTTTTAAAAAAGATAATATATTTAATATAAAATTTTTATATTAAATGTAAATGTACTGTTTAAAATATATATATATATATTTATTCGTAAATTTTCATGGGTACAGGTATGTAGGTCTAGGTGTGTTCGGGTCTTTAGCTGTGTAAGATTAATCTTATACTGGAAAAGACCCGAACACACCTAGACCTACACATACATACATACATACATACGTAGGTCTAGGTGTGTTCGGGTCTTTTCTGAATACTATATATAGTATTCAGCTTTGTTCGGGTATTTTCCCACGTCATTATAGTTGTGCTTTTAAAGTCGTAGCAACGTTTCGGCAGAATTGCTACAACTTTAAAAGCACAACTATAACGATGTGGGAAAATACCTGAACAAAGCTGAATACCATACATGTAAGTACCCACGAAAACTTAAGAAAACATATACACACACACATACACACACACACAGTATATTGCTTATTTAATTAGAACAAAAAATATAACAAGAAAAGCAGAGCCCCCCCTCAAATGTGGTCTCCTGTCATTTCATATCTCCCCCAAGTCAGAGGAAACCTCTTCCTCCTTTGCCAGGTGTGGCTGCCTGC